CCCATTTGAATTCAGACTCCCAAACTATTCGAATCAATTGCCTTTATTTTTATGGCTAGCTTGGAAATGTTTCTCAGCCTTGAACTAAGAAGTTCTGGCAGTCCTGGAAAGAGCTGGAAGATACAATTCCACACACAAATGTCCTTGAAATGATCTCTCCTGCTCTTAGCAACAGCGGGGTTAGATTTTTCAGAAAAGAAAAGGCAAGCACAGCAGAAGGAGAGGAAGAAAATAGAAGTGGGAAGAAAGATGAAAGAAAAGCCAGAGAAAGAAAAATGAAAGAAAAGGTAGGAAACTATATCACCAATGTGCATTGAAAGAGAAGACGGGCAGAATGGGTTTAGGGATATATATTTCCTGTACTGAGCAATGGGAGAACTATAAATGAAATGAAGCCACCTATATAATGCGGAAGAAAAAGAAACTAAACAGGATTAGAGGGTTTTTTTTAACTATTCTAAATGAACGGTGCAGAAGGAGTTGCATATGAGTCTGGCTTGACTCCATCAATACAGACTTGGATGAAGTTGAATCCCGGGCGACCCCCGCAGATGGTCGAGGCTTTCGTTTTTTCAATATATCGGGAGAAAATATCATCCATCTGTTTTTCTACTAAGCTAAGCAGTTTTGAATGTGGCTCCATTGACTCAAATATGATTGTTCTTCAGCAAAACATGATTCAAAAGTTGTATTCATTTGTTCATGACTGGAGTTTAGGGATACTTTGGGGGATGAACCCGATCTAGTTTCTGATGAACTTGGCTAATCCAAAACAGTGAACATAAGGATCCATTTAGAATAAAGGGATGGCTGAAGAAATGACCCATTTCATTCTTCCTGCTGTCTGTTTAGATTTTTCTGCAATACCTCACTGCAATCAGCAGACATATTGAAGCCCAACAGCATGCTTAGCACAAGTGCATTTGAACATTTAGTTTACATTTTTAGAGGCTTTGAATTTAAACTTTTCATCATTTGATACTGATTTCCCTCCCCCCTCCCCATGTCAGGGCAGACTGCAAGTTCAGGTTGCTATCTTATATGCTTACCTGGGAGTAAGTGTCCCAGTGCTTAGTAGGATTTCTGACTAGTAGCATCCTAAATTCCTCTCGGGAGTAAATAGATCTCGCTATTAACCTAAAATGTCTTGCATCCATAGCAACACATTTACTGCTACAGCCAGCTAATAAAGAGCTATAATTTACATGAAAATTAATGGGTTGTGCTATTCAGCAAAGCTGTAAGCTATTCACCAGTATGATGAACGGAGGGTTTTAGTTGTTTTATTATTGAAATGTTGTCTTTGTAAAGGACTTCTGTTTGAAAACCCAGTGAAGAAATAGAAACTAATAAAAGAAGACCAACAAGGAGAGTAGATCGCAATGCCTACTTGGTCTTTTGGGTTAAGAAAATATTGGCAAAACAGTACAGCTTTATCTTCTGTGCCCTAAAATTGGTCAGGCATTGTCTTTAATGGGGTTTGTTGTTAGATAACTATGGAGGTGATGGAGCTTTAAGTTTGGTCCTTGTTAACTTGAAACCAGTGAAGAGAAGCTCCAGGGAAGAAAGGCATCCATCTCAACCTCTCCCTTTCTTTATAAGGTGGTGATAGTTGAAACTCACCAACAGAAAAAAAATGGGGGGGAGAGAGATAGTCAAATGTGCAACAGTTTCTACAACAACTAGTTCAGAAAACACCTCTTTTATTTTTATTTATTATAGCTAAAGACAACACTTTTTTACACCCCATGCTAAGTTTTTCATCACGGAAGGGAACTTTTTGATCATGGAAAGGATGATTAATAAAGCTAAATCAACGCAGTGGAAATCAGGGGAGATTGCTGTGGGATCTCCATTGATTCTCTTCTTATAGTCAGGCACAACTCATTCCGGCTGACTGTAAATGGCGCTGCAGGGAACTGTACAAGTGCACGATGACTGGAGGCTTGGTTGCACTATCTAAGCATTACTCCACGCAACTCAATCCTAAACCTTCTCCAGATCAGATCCCCTGGAGGATTTAGAGCAATGGTTCCCAACCTGGGGCCCACGTCCCACAGAGGGGCAATTTGATTTTTAATGTGGGCAATTAGAACCTTGTTTAAACCAAGTTAATTGCCTTTTAGGCTTCCTCCGCATGAGTAGGAGTCACAGTTTCTGAATAGTAAGAATTATATGGGGGGGGGAGAATCAGGATTTTAGAGATGCTTAGGTGGGGCATGGCCAAAAAAAGTTTGGGAACCACTAATTTAGAGTAAAGCCTCTGACTTTACTAGTGACTAGTGAAGTCTGGCTTACTCTGACTAGTAAAGCCTTCGCATCTTCACCCATAAGACCACCTTGAGGCCCATCCGCGACCTTTGATGTAGTCTGGGGACCACTAGGAATTCACCACCTAATTCTGACTTGCAATTAAGTCCCGTGGATGGGCAGCTATTCAAAGGAAGCAGGGCGGCTTTGTGTGAAGAGAGGCAGAAACCACCGACCAACTTCCGAGCCCGATCCTATACTTGCTTATTAGATAATAGCAAGCCTTGAGGCAGGGGGGAAAAAAAATGTCAGGGAGAGCGAGGAGAAGGAGCCAAGGCGATATCCGGCTGAGCGAGCCTTGTCTCGGGCTTTAGATTTTGGAAAGGAGTAACAGAATATTCCCCTTTATGACTGAGCGGGAAGAAGATCGGGGCGCTTTTTGGAAGCTGCGTGGCTTTCAATATCACCTGATCGGAAGTCTCCCAACTCTCTTTTCCTTACCCTTCGAACAGGAAATCGGTTTCGCTCCGAAAGGGGTTTTTGATGGACTTTACTTCTCTTTCTCCTTCTCGAGTAAATATGTTGGTGATTTGCAACGTCAAGAGCCTTGGTAGTACAGGGGTTTAAGGCACCCTGTTATTAAGCTGGTTATTAAGACCAGCTGCCTGCAATTACTGCAGGGTTCGAATCTCGCCAAGGCTCAAGGTTGACTCAGCCTTCCATCCTTTCTAAGGTAGGTAAATTGAGGACCCAGTTTGTGGGGGCAATAAGCTGACTTTGTATAAATATACAAAAGGATGAAGGCTATTGCTGAGCACATTGTAAGCCGCCCTGAGTCTTCGGAGAAGGGCGGCATATAAATCAAATTTAAAAAAAAAAACTGTCTTGCCCAGTTCCTCTTGTGCGCGGAAGAACATTGATATCGGTCTTCTGCTTGTTGCCTGTTTGAAGGCAACAAGACTCGTTAAAGCATCCGAAACGTTAATGTCGGTTAAATCGTGTCAACAAGCCGGGAGCGGAGAGAATCCGGAGCAGCGGAAGAGGCCTAAAGCAATCCTGGATTTGAATGGCGGGGCCGTCCTGCCTTTTCATATTTATATAGAATGTATTTTATTATATATAAAGGAAAAGGGATGAAACGTAGCCTTTAATTGTATACATTGCATCCCTTTTTTTTTCCTAACAGAAATCCCCCCCCCGTACTAAATCTTCTCCCCGTTGATGCCGAAGGGAGGGACATCAATTGGCTTTTAAGATTGCGCGCGTCTTGCCTTGGGAAGAAACCGAGTTCCCGCGGCTGTTTCCAGCCGGTCCGGCTTCCCAAAGAAACCGTGCAAGCGGCCTTTCCCGCGTCCTTAACAGCCTCCTCTATTTCCTTGGAAGGCAGACCCAGAGAACTCTAGTAGACACCCACCAAATGAGGACTTTCTTTTCTTTTCTTTTCTTTCTTTTTTCTTTCTTTTTTTCTTTCTTTCTTTCTTTCTTTTCTTTTCTTTCTTTCTTTTTCTTTCTTCCTTTCTCTCTCTCTCTCTCTCTTTTCTCTCTCTCTCCCTTTCTCTCTTTCTCTCTCTTTCTCTCTTTCTCTTTCTCTCCTTCCTTCGTTTAATTCTTTTTCCCATCAGAATTTCAGTCCTTTCGAATGCCGGTGGGGGTGAGAGAGACACGTTTCCACATCTTTTTCGTAAAAGCATGCAATTCTTCTCTCCGTTTATTACCAGACCTTTTTAAAACACACAGCCATCATGGCCCAGATGTACAACATTATTTCTTTCCTGATGCATTTTTTTTAAAAAAATCCTATTGTTAAAAAGAAGAAAAGGTGTGCTAGAAAATATAATTTTTAAAATGGAAATTGTAAAGTTTTGCATTGGGGAAGGACAAAAGGATTTTGTCTTGATTTCTTACTATTATTACACTGACATATAAAACATAGCATAAATGTTTTATATGTGTCCCTAGAAACTACCAAGTATCTTTTACTTGAATGAAAGGCATATCTATATGTAAGAAGGTGCATTATATTTCACAGGAAATCGCTTATTTTTTGTTTATCGAGTGACAGCTAATAATAAATTGTTCCTTATCAGAAAATGTATATTCTTACAAAAGTAAAACACACATCGTGGTTCCAAGCTCTTAAGTCCCTGGGAATGAGTCCCATTGAATTCAATAATTTTACTTTTGACATGTATCAGAAATAAAAAAAAACAACAACACGGTACATAATGATGATTAGGCTATGCATCTCTATGAGAAAACAGAGCCAAATTAATAACATTGTTCAGTGATATGAAGCATAAAATCAATTACTAGGTGGGAAGTGGATGATAGTTAATAATGAATGCTTAACAACAATAAATTTATTTCTGTAGTGGAAATAGCTTTGCAGGCTGCAGTCTCCTCTGCATTTCCACGGCAAAATCTTTCATTTGCTCAGTGGAATTAACTTGCAACTATAATGGGCAAATGGGGAAAGTGGGTTTAAAAACAAACAACCCCACAATTATATACTTTTAGAAATGCCTATCATGCATTCCGGGTATACACGTGTATGACTATTCCATACTTCTACGACAACCTCGCCTTTTAATTTAAAGAAGAACCTGAGAAAAACAATTATCACTTCTTGACACAGTTTAAGCAAACTTATAACTGAGAAGAAATCCACCCATTTCCCGGGTGTTTAGGCAATTTTATAACTGAGAGGAAATCCACCCATTTCCCGGGTGTTAGAAGCCCTGCTCAGTTACCTTGATCAATTGCGACGCTGAGATTCAGTCACGGTTTCGACACTTCGCTCGGCCAAGACCCTTCTGCAAAGAAAAAGAAAATCCCCCTCGAATGTGGAAAGCAGCACGTCGAATAAATCCGAGGTTCTTTCCATTCTTCGTGACTGCTAACAAAAGTCTCCCTCAGTATCTCGGCGGACTCTCTCTCTCTCTCTTTCTCACTCTCTCTCTCTCTCTCTGCCTGTTTATCTCAAAAAGATTGTAACGCGGGTTTTTTTTTTCTACACATGTTAACTTCATAAATAGCAGGCACTGACCACCCCATTACCAAACGCGTTTTCCCACCTATTAAAAGCTTTTAAAAATATTCTGTGTGCCCTGATATTGTTACAGTAAAGGACCGCGGGTTAATTCTTCTTTCCAATTGCAATTTCCTAAATAAATAAATAAAATAGCACCCTGTGTTGTCGGTAATAAATTCCCAAATGACAGCTGTAAACATAAACACGATTTCCATAGGGTCATAGTAAAGGCAGAAATTACAAAAGAAATGTGTTTTAAAATCAGAAATAGACATTCTTAATTATTTCCATTTTACAGGCTGGTAAATTAAGGCTAAGAATGACTAGTCAAACCCTGGATAGTCTCATATTTGAACTCAGAACTGAGACCCTAGTAGAGTAACTGGATTCACCTTATTGTTGTCTTTTCCTTGGAATTGTTTAAGATTTTCATCCACTGCAAACAAATCCTTGTGTTTGTGTGTGTGCACATATAAATAAACTAGTCTGATTTTTGTTTGAAGAAGTAAAACTAATATAAAAAAGAAATTTATGGAAATATATTAATAAAATAGGAGAAGGAAGGAATATTAGCTATGCTCACCACCTTGAGTTATTTATAAAAATAATAAAGGTGGGATTTAAAAAATCTAAAATAAAACAAATAAGTTGTAAGCCATATGGATCATGTTTGGAATGTTTGTGTATAAGGCACAATATATCATTTATATTTAATTTTAATTTGATGAATTTCTGGGTCCCAGTCCTAAATCTATCTCTTGCAAGTCAATTTGATTTGTTTCAGAGAGAACTTACTTTTTGGGTAGGAAGATAATGATACTGTATATATACAATGAACAGATTAGTTTAGTCCAAATGCAAATCATGCCATACAGCCTAAGTTATGCACTTTTAAGAACCTTCAACTTCAAAGGAGAATTAAAAGCCGTCTAGACCACCTATGTGCTCCCATTTAAATGAATCAAATTACAGTCTTTTATTTAGACTCCTGATGCTGAGAAAAATGAATTGATCAACACACAGCATCCGTAAATGAATGATACTGACACATAGAGAGAGAATCCTGCTTAATGTGCAGTTCGGTGTTGTATGCATTTATTTATTTAGAAGTATGTCTGGGTCTCTGTACCCAATACAGTATGCAAAGACATTGCAGACTGCAACTCTGCTCTTAAATACATCTCCATTTAGATAAGAGCCTCTGGCCACATTAAGTAAAGTCCAGATACTGTTCTCCTTACGTAAACATACCTAATAATACTTGGCAGTTCTATCATGTTTTATAAGGGTTTCAAGCACTCGTATGCATCAGTTGAATCATCCTCAGGAGAAGTCATGTTGCAGTGGAAGGGGGGGCTGTGAAACTGGGGGTGCCTTGCCCAAGACCACCTCTCTGGTCCACAGCAGAGGCAAATCAGAGACCAGACATTTGCACAACTTTTCCAGTCTTCTACAACAGCTTGAGAGGAAGCCCCATTAAACTCAAGGGTGGTTTGAGAAAGGTTATCTAGGAACAGCAAAAAATGTCTTACAACCAAGAGCAACTTAAACAGCTAATCTTTCTGTTTCATTTCACTTTTCATGTAAGTTTTTATTTAAATAAACGTGCATCAATCAAAGGCACTAAGGCAAATATTTTTTAAAAACACATTATTTTAAGATATGAACTTTTAAACAGACATATTCAAATTTCAGACCAGAAAGACATTTATGTGGATGGAGGATCTGTTAAGAACAGCTTTGTTAATGCAAATAAAAAGAAGTATGTAGAACATTATGATTAAAAAGAATTACGGTAATAAAATGTAAAGTATTTTGGTTCATGATTTTACATGGCCACTGATCAAGGATTCATTACTGACAGCTGAATGTTAGACTGTATTGTTAACTATATCTGATCTCTTTTTCCAAGGTTTTGTGCGAGCTGATACCTCTCTCACCCCCACATTTTTTTATCTGTACAACAACATTGTGGGATAGGCTAGCTTGAGAAATACAGGCTAAATTTCAACAACATGCTAGATTAAAATAAAATGGGTTTGGGTAGTTCATTACAACTGTGTAGTGATTAAGATTCAGAAGCAAAAAAGATGTTTTAGTAGATTGCAAGGGGTCACATGGCTTTTGCAATTATTTTTGTTTGTTTCCAAATCAATGCTTAACCTTGTAGTGGGTGGATTAAGTAGGTTGTGAAAACCTAATCATTGTCTCAGCATGTCAAGTGAACCAGAAATCACAATATGGTTATTTGAATATTCTCTATCATCTGAATATTAATAGCAGAATGCAGCAATTGTGTTCTAATAATCCAGGTTCAAGATTTTTTTTGTGCTGTATGAACAAAGTCTATGACTGGCCCAGAACGATTCTTGATTGGCAGGAGACATTATTTGAGGTCCTCAAATCTTAGCTTCAGAAATTGGCGATTGCACATTGTGTCAGAAATGAAATATTTGGGGTTCACCGTTGAACAGGATGGAAAAATGGCAAAGATTCACTCACTGATTGTGTTCATGTAACAGTCACAAAAGGCTAAAATGAAGAGATGATTTGAGATTTGTTGTAGGAGTCCAACTATTATCTTAACATTTTGTGGGAACCAGGACATTGTGTTATGTCTTATTCAGATTTATTTGTTTATATTAGCAAGTATGACACCACAGCAATTATTTTTGTTAACTGGGATAAATGCTTAGTGCATTGTGTAGCCTCAGACACTGCTTTTGTGCATTTGTACATCAGTTGTTCCAGTTGCATATATTTTATATTACAAAGACTGCGTTTTGTTTCATATAGAAATTAAATTCACCTAGGATGACCTTCAGTATGGGGCTGACCTTCTCCTATTCCCTAATTCCATGTTAGTGTGATGTAATGGGTCATGTTTAGTGAAGGCTGCATTAGAGATCAATAAAACATACAGATGTTTTATTCTCTATAGGTTCATTTTCTTTCTTCTTTCCTTGAGATGTACATTATGTAAAACGTGTCCTTATCTGGTGCCAACCTTTGCAAAGGACAATTATACAATGTTCATTGATCACTCAGTACAGCAGAGAACATGTCATTGTCATAAATAGATTATACTCTTCCCACATAAATCCTTAATTCCTGCTGCCTTTATTTCCTCCTCTTTTCTCTGTTGCTTTGGTTGTGTCAAATTTTAGATTGTAAGCTCTTTGGGTCAGGAAAAAGTACTGTTCTGGTACTTGTGAACTAGACAGGGCTGTCAAGTTTGTTTGCTTTAATCATTTATTTAGATGGAGGTTCTGCCTGACTCCAGAATGACTCTGAGCAGTTGACAATATCAAACAAACAAGATAAAAAACACAATACATTATAAATAAACAAGATAGCATCCATCCAAACAATACATTCCATGTACAAAGACTCATCTAAGGGGGTGGGTGAGAAATCTGCCATACCCCAAGGACTGGGAGAAATAGCTACATTTCTTGACTATACAGTATATGAACTCTAAGCAGTATCTGAATATTAGCAGCGGATCAGGCAGATATAGGCAAATTTCAGAGGTGGGCATCACATACCGTAACAACCGGTTCACCCAGCAGCGGAAATGTGAGTGCATGCACGCGCACGCTCGCTTTGCTCACACCATCCGCACATGCATGCAGTGTCACAAAACACAGCGATATAAGACGGGATTGAACCTGGGTGGGTGGGCAGGGCCAGGGGTGAAATGCTACTGGTTCGGACCGGTTCAACCGAACTGGTAGCAATGGTGGTGGGTGGTAGCAACGGCAGCGCAAGTCTCCGCCCACCGGCTCGGTCATCGTTACTTCCTGGTTTTAACCAGGAAGTAACCTGTTTTTTACCTTCTGCGCATGTACAGAAGGGTTTCCGCATGTGCAGAGGGTCCATGCGCGCATGCAGAGTGAGCACGCATGTGCGGCATGTACACTTCTGAACCAGTAGAAAAGGTAAGTAGATTTCACCTGTGGGCAGGGCCACCGGCAGGTTGCAACTACCAGTTCATCCGAACCAGTTCAAACCAGCAGCAGCCCACCACTGGAAAATTGTTATCACTTTACTATGCATAATTCCTTCCACAGATTATAACTTTTTCAGAAAATGAAATGGTACTTGTAATTGTCTCTCTGTCTGTCTGTCTGTCTGGCCATCCATCCATCCATGGTAGATTCTGGGCTAAAGAAAAAAGGAAATTCGGGACTGTGCAGAATGTTGGTATAGGATTGCCAAGAAATCCATTGGGTGACTTTGGGTCAGGCATTATTATCTTGAAACAGTCGTGATAGATGTTACTTTTTTCTTCCTTGTAAGTTTTAATGCAGGAGTAGGTCATTCAAAGCTCACGTGTGCACCACTTTGCATCTCTGCCACTAAAATGTTGCTCCTTTCTATTTTGATTAAAGTAGCTGAAATGTCACTTTATCTTATTTTTACGCTTGCTCTACAGATTCTAATGTGTTAATCCCAAAGGCTTTCTTTAAATGAACTAATTTATTGCAAGAATATGAGCCATCTTCACTATTATTTTTTTAATAGGGAATCTAAATCAACAGTGTTGAGGCTGTGAGTCTGCACTTTACTTTCAGCCAGGATATAAATGTAATAATGAGATAAAGTAAAATAAATGAAAATTACTATGCCCAGTCGATGTTATTAAACCAATTTTTCTAGTTCTCATCACAAACAAACTGCATCCTTTTAAAATCTGGGACAAGAATTTATATTTTCTACATATGAGAATCCAAAGAGATGGACACCTTTCTATTATGGAAAGAAGCTGTCCATTTGAGTGAGGAAGCAACATTCTCAGTTCTTCAGCCTTTTAACAAAATACTCAAGAGAGCCCAATGATCATCCCTGTTTTTCAT